CACCTGCAGGGGATTTGTTCTGTGCCCTCTGATAATGGTAAGCTCACAATATCTTTGTAAAAAATAAGATTCAGCAATGCAACCAAGTAAAAAATTAGTATCAGCTATGGTGGGAAACGAGGCTTAAAATAAACCGGGGACTTGGATAATAACTTTAATGAGCAATTTTGCTGCTTCTCTCCCTTTCTCTCCTGTGGAAATATATGGTTTGAGTATATTTTTAGCTCAGTCATTCATTTATGTTTTCTAAGCTTAGTAATATGCAGCTTATTACTAAGAAGCATTTTGGAGCAGAAGTTCCTAAACTTTTCTATCACAACCCCTTCGGCATCTTTGTGAAGCTTAGAATAATGTTTTTGAAAGCATAAAATCAAATGTATAGGACCACAGAGGGAAATAATTATATTGAAATATAGTTAGCAACATATTAAAAAGAATTGAACCCCAGGTTAAGAACTCCTCAGTTAGAGATCACCATTTCAACATTTTTTTAGGACAAAGTGGCATTTGGAAAAGTGAACTGTGTACTTTTCCTTCTTCCAACGAAAGTATACCAGTATGAAAGCTGAACATAGGGTTGAAATGAATAGGGATATAGTGACTGTTCTATTATCACAGCAAATCTTGATCATCTATTTTCTAGGTGTAGCCTAAAACAACTATTTTAGGGAGTTATGGTCCACTCCCATGTATGCTGTTGTAAGTGGCTTCCACCCACCATTCCTCCTCTGAGACTGACTTATCCATCTTATTGGCTGCTAAAGAATCCTCTTTCAGAATGAGCTTCTTTTCCTATTTGAAATCGTGTGTCCCTAATGGTAGTAACCATCAGGCTACCATTTCCAGACTTAGTTCATTGGTAGAATGATAGTAGTTAATACACTCTGGGGCCAGTAAACTGTGGCCATCTTTTCTTGACAAGTTTTCTTGTTCTGTGGCCTACTCTGAGTCTCAAAGTAGTATCTCAGGCTTCTCCTAGTAAGGCATGCATTTCTAAAATCCAGTTCACATTAAAAACTATAAAAAAGCATTGATGATACAGTAAATAATGCTAGAACATATCACATTCCAAACTTTTTCTCTTTCCCGGTAGGGGAGAGTCTGGTGACACATATAGTTAAAGGGAACAATGAATCTCAAGATGTTGAGCAAATAGGAATACACAGCCTAGCTGGTCTAAATGAGTACATATACCTTAGACCAAATAACTTTCCTTCCAGTGTACTGAAAGAATTTGCCCATTAGGTTACAAAATGAGGGGCGGCATGGTACAGTGGAAAGAGTACTGGTTCTAGAATCAGAAGATGCGGATTCAAATCCTGGTTTGATCATTACTACATATGTGACCTTGAGCAAATCAGCTAACCTCCTTGGGTCTCAATTTACTCATATGATGAATGTATTGACATAGTCCAGTCATAAGCATTGAATATTACTCAAGCTATTTTCATTGTTCTTTATTTTTAAGAATTTTGTAATTGAATCTATACAAATAGTTGACAAATTGACTTCTAAATAGTTTGCATATTTTTTAGTTTAAAAGTAATTGGTAGTTGTATTGAATGTGATTTATCTTTTTATCATTGCTTTTGGGATTTTGTTGTTTATTCTATTGAAATGTTATTGATTTTGTGAGTTTATGTTTTAGCTTACAACTTTGCTAAAGCTATTAGTTTTCCTAATTAGTGTCTTTGCTAATTCCCTAGGATTTTCCAAATAACCCCCCATGTTGTCTGCAGATAGGGATATTATGTCTTTCCCTATGTCTGTCTTTATGCCTTTAACTTCTTTCTCTTGTTCTATTGTTATTGCTAACATTTCTAGGATTATATCAAATAATAGCAGGGAGAACAGTCATCCTTGCTTTACTCCTATCTTTAGTGCAGAAGCTTCTAGTATATCTACATTGCATACGATGTTTGCTTTTGGTTTTAGGGAGATACTTTTTATTATATTAAAACACAATACCTCTATGCTTATACTTTATAAGTTTTTTTATACTTTGTCATAAGCTTTTTTCTGCATCTATTAAGGTAATCAGATGATTTGGGGGGTTTTTGTTTTTAATATAATCAATATGTTGATTAATTTCCTAATAGTAAAATCCCTAGCATAAATCTTACTTGGTCATAATGAATGATTTCATGAATAAATTGTTGTAGTCTGTCATAATTTTATTTTAAAATGTTTAATTGATAGGCATTAATGTTGCTCATCTATAGTTCTTCATCTTTGCTTTATCCAGGGGTGGGAAACCTGTGGCCTTGAGGCCACATGTGGTCCTTGGGTGCAGCCTTTTGATTGAGTCAAGTTTTACAGAACAAATCATTAAGAGGATTTGTTCTGGGAGGTTTGGATTCAGTCAAAGGGCCACACTTGAGAATTTAGAGGCCACAGGTGGCCTTGAAACCACAGGTTCTCTGCCCCCACCTTTATCCTTCTTAGGTCCCTTCCTGCTCTACAATCTCTGACCTGATGTTTGTAGTCATGGGATGTATGAGGGAGTGCTAGAATAATAAATGGAAAAATATCATCCTGATTATTAAAAAGATAAGTTGCTATTGTTATTCACATGTTTCATGACACAAATATTGTTACTATAAATAATTTTAAATGATTTCATTTTTGGGTAGAGTTAAATTCACACAAAAATATTTAAAGACTCAAAGAAAATTCTAGGATAAATCTTTGAATGGATGAGTTATAAGAACTTAGAGGATCATTGATCACCAAGGTCTAAATAACCTTTCTATGAATATTCCATTCCATATCAACTTACCCTTATTTCCTTTTTTGCCCTATGGAGGGAGAGATCTAGAAAAGGCCATAGAAATGAAATATTTGGATTTCAGTAAGGCAAAGTCTTTCATTGTATCCTCATGGAAAAGTTGGAAAAAGTTAAGTGAATTTGTACCTTGGAGTTTTTTTTCACATACACTGCTATTAAGCCATGTCTTCCCCAATATGTACTTGTACTATTGATTTTCTCAACTTGATGGCGAGACTTTACAGATTTCACTATTAAATTTCAAATTATTAGATTTGTTTTATCTTCCCAATCCATCATAATCTCTTTAAATACTGACTGTCACGTAAAGTAGTATTTATTCCTCAAAGTTTTGTGAATTGATAAGTATGACATCTATGTCTTTTTCCAGTCATGGATAAAAATGTTGAACATGACAGGGTACAGGATCAAGTTCCATGGCCTACTCCTGAAGACTCGTGAAGTTGGTATCAATATATTAGAGTCAATAAAGAGTCAAAGTCAATAAGCCCTTATTATGTGCCAGTCACTGTGCTAAGCACTGGATTAATCAACACTTTTTTTTTTTGGCACAAGTGAGCTTAGGTAACAAAACAGTCTGAATTAATCAGGGATCTGAACAGGTAAGATAAACAATACAATGCTATCTGGTGAATTTTAGCTTTTGGATCAGGAATACTCATCTGCATGAGTTCAGATCTAGCCTCAGACATTTACTAGCTGTGTGATCTGGGCAAGTCATTTAATCCTGTTTACCTCAGTTTCCTCATCAGTAAAATGATCTGGAGAAGGAAATGGCAAACCACTCCAGCATCTTTGCCAAGAAAACCCCAAACAGGATTATAAAGGGTTGGACATGACTGAAAAATGACTGAACAAAATCCAAAACACTAGCGTCACATACATCTGTTCTTAGTAAAAAAAAAAAAAAAAGAAACAAAGAAACAAAAGAAATTTAGTGTAAAAACTATTAATATTTGTGTAAAGCCAAGCTGAAAAGCATTAATTAAGGATATGGTGACAATATTGTATTCTTATTCATATCCTTTTGCAGTATGAAGAATATATCTTACAGTTAACTAATTAGATTCTTAAGGATTCACTGGAGTTCTTAGATACAACCAGAATTGTATTTTCCCTTTGTTTCTTTATTTTTCCCTAATTATATCATCTACAAAGATAAGAAACTCTTGTGAGAGAAGCCGTAGAGTATGAGATGTGTTGGTGAGGTCATTGGCATGCCTAAGACTTCTGTGTTAAGTGGCCCAATTCCCCTTTCTCTTTGGGATTAGAAGGAAGAGTAACTGGAATGTACTGGGGAAGAAGTTAGAACAAAGAATTATATATTCTTTTGGCCCTCCTCCAGTCTTTTATCTTCCATTTCCTTCAGAAGGAAAAACATGGTGGCTATTCATAAAATGCTTAGAACTCTCATAAAAAGAAATTCTGGTGCATAGGACCACACTTAGGGCACACCTGTTCATACATATTTTGATGTATGCCATGTTTAGGGTTCTTTCATGATAAAAGTGCCATTAGACCCAATGAAAATTTAGAAAAGAATTTGCCTGATCTGCACTCTAAGTCCTTTCTGCTCCAGAATGGGTTGTCAATCAATCAATCCAGAAGCATTTATTAATATTTATTATGTGTAGGCACAGAGCTAAGAATACACAGAAAAAGCAAAAACAGTCCCTGTTCTCAAGGAACTAACATTAGGCATATTGAGTCTTTCAGCTTGAGAAGGTACTCTTTAGTTCACTGAGTCCTGAATTTTATGCCATCTTGGGACTTGGGGATGGGGGAGAAGAGAGCCCAACAATAACAGGAAATCCTTTTGCTTCCTTTTTAAAAGCAGCAGCCACAGTCTGTTACTTAACGAGTCAACATGCCAGCTTAGGAAGCTCCCTTTGATCCTTAACAGACTGCTATTGTGCCATCCTCTTCATTTACCATCCAGCATTTACCCAAGGAACATTTACAGACAATCACCTTGCACAGTTGGAGACTCTGTCCCCTCCTATGATATTTATCTTCCAGGAGGAGGACAGAGAATTTGGAAATATGAGAGTATTTAATTTCTCTTCCCTCATCTCTCTCTGAGACAAGGGGAAGACTGCCTTAAAAATTTTAGCACCAGACTGCCTGAACTTTGTGCTCCAGATCTGACCTGTGCCTGGACAAGTCTCTCTCAGAGGTTAAGCCCACTTTAAGGATGTGAGCAGATACTCACCAAGCAGTAAACTGAGATCTTCAGACTTATTCTATGTCTGCTGCCTCAAGCCATGCCCCATCACAAGTCTCCGGAGTCAAGAAAGTAGAAGGTTAGCTAGGTTGCCCTTTGTGACACAACACTTAGAGGAAATGATATAATAAGCTTCTCTTCCAGACACAGAAAACATGGCAGGGAATGGAATAACACATCTTTAATTAGAAAAATTTAAATTTACTCTTAATTTAATTCCTCACCCCAGTAGCCATGATTACATTTGCATCATGATAGATCTCCAATATGATCCATTTTCATAAATGCAAACTTTCCTGAATATGGTTCTGATGGATCCTGACATTTTAAAATATGTCCTATTGTCCTTTCCTGCGCAGCAGACCAAGCACAGAGTGTTCACTCCTATATCATTGTCACAGTGGTATCAGACCAGATGGCTACTTCATCACCGAATCAAGAATTAGGGATAATTTATGCAGTTTTCTTTTTCACAGAAATTAGGAATCTAAGGCCTCGTAGCAACACATATCCATGAAAAGCCACATAGAACTGCAGAGAGAAGCTTAGCCGCAGCCGCATCTAAAGACTGCTGCTGCTGCTGCTGCTGCCAGTCTACAATCTTTGATTGTAGTTGTCTTTATTCTCTTTCCACTGAGCCACAAACCCAGGCACTCAGTGGATTGTGTAAGCGTACCACTGGAGTTTGTTGTATCATGATCACCTCTACAAGGCCATGCCACTTTGTTAAGGAAAACAAGCTGTTATTAAAACTGTTCTAAAATAGGAATGATTATATCTGAGATCTCCATTATTTCACCATCAAGGATCTCTTCTTTTCTTAAGGGGAAAAAAAAAAGAAATGCCCATTTGAATGCTATCTTAATATTCAGGGCAGTTGTATCTGTGTCCGTGAACATTAAATGATAGAAATGGAAGAGCTATTTATCCTTAGCCTAGTGAACAGCACGGTGGAAATTTCTCTTTATTGGTCTATAAATAAACAGAGCCTGAGCAACATCCTTTATTGGGATAAGTCACAATAACTCACCAGACAAACCAACTATCTCATCACAATTTCTTTATCCCATATTATTATCACAGGCCTCCACATGGCTGTAGAAACAGAGCCACTGGAGACTGGATGCCCAAATCTCCCTAAGCAACCAGAGTATATTCTTAATGCAGACGGGCCTTTAAAAAAAAAATCACATCCAGACTCTAGTTAACAGGTGTTATTTGAAAAGGAAAGAGCTACATCCCCAAACACAGAGATCAGGAAAGCTAGGTGAGGTCATCAAAGCATTATTTATCACAGAAGAACCAAAGTCACAAATTAAATGACCTGATAACTCCTTGCTGTCCATCATTTGTTACCAGCAAGAGAAGGGCCTGCACTTTGTGTTTCCTAATGTTTAGAACGCATGGGCCTTGTGAGAACATTGTCAATACAACTGGTCAACTCAATCAGAAGAGATCAGTTCAGGTCCTTGTTTGGTTTTTGCTGACATTCTGATGTTCTACATAGAAACTAGTCAGAGTGGGCTGTGTCACTATAAAGAAAAGTCATTGAAAAGGATAATAAAACAGGCAAGATACTCTCTTTTTTTCCTGTCTATGTTATATTACATTTTATTTTTAAATCGTTTCTCTACTACTTTTTTCGGATTGAGAAAAGGAAGCCGTCGTAACAGGAAGATTCATTTTACAGACCAAATAAAAGGTTCTCAATGTTAAGCATAGTTATAGGTTTAAAGCTGCAAGGAGTTTAGAGGCATCTCTTTCATTTTATTTTATTAAATAAATTTTTATATCATTTGGCTTTATATCACCACCATTTCTGAATATAGCCCTTTCCCCACCCCTACCCAGGTAGCTTGTAGCAAAATACAAAGAAGGGAAAAGCAGTTTAGTAAGACTAGACAATACATGAATCAAGTTTTATATGCAGCATTCCACATCCATGATTCCCCACATCTGCAAAGTTGAGAAGATGCATTTTCATGTCTCTTTTCCAGGGCCAAGTTTGGTGATTGTAATCAAACGGCATTCAGTTTCATGTTGTCATTCTTTCCATTTATGTCATTGTGGTTATTGTGCTTGGTTTCCTGGCCCTGCCTCCTACTCTTTATATCAGTTTGTAGGTCTTCTCATGCTTCCCTGAATTCTATACATTTATTCTTTCATATGGTTCAATAATACTGCACTTCACATTTTCTAAATTGTTTAGCCATTCTCCAATTAATGGGCAAATATTTTGTTTTTAGTTCTTTGACATCACAAAAACTGATGCTGGTTCAGATGAGATCCTTCTGTTTGTCTCTGATCTCCTTGGGGGTACATGCCTATCAGTGGAATCTCTAGGTCAAAGGGTATAGACATTTTAGTCACTTTTTTTGTTTTTAGCAAAATTCCAAATTATTTAACAGAATGGTTGGACCAATTCACAGTTGTATTAATGATCAATTATCATGCCTGTTTTTCTAAAGCCCCTCCAACTTGACTAGTTGCATCTTTTGTCATCTTTTCCAGTTTGTTGGCCATGAGGTGGAACCTTAATTTTTTTTCAAAATTTACATTCTTCTTATTGGTCAGGTAGAACAATCTTTCATATGGTTATAAATGGTTTCCAATTGTTCTTTTCAGAAGGGTTTATTCATATATTTTAAGCAGCTGCACATTGGAAAATAGCTCTTAATCTTATATATTTGTGTTTATTTCCTACATATTTTGGATATCAGAACCATATATGTGATGCAAAAATTATTTTGCCTGAACTAATCAATAATCACCTATTAAACATCTACCTTGATCCAAGCACAGTGCTAGGCACTGGAGATGCAAAGACAAAACCATCAAGAAGTTTATATTCTATAGGGGAAGACAAGATATGTATATAAGCATATCCAAAAATAAATTCAAGGGTATTTTTTTCTGGAGGAAAGGCAATATGAGCGAGGGGGAATCAGCAGAAGACTCATGTAGAAAGTGGCAAAAATTGAATCTTGAAAGAAACTAGAAATTCTAAGAGGCTCAGGGAAGGAGGCAGTGCATTCCAGGCATGAGAGAGCTTCCCAGTCAATAGTCCCTTCTTTTTTTTTTTAATTTGCATTGATTTCGTTTGTGCAAAAGCTTTCCATTATTGTATAGTTCAAAGTATCTATGTTTATCTTTTTTAGGATCATTTCTGTACTTTGGTTTAAAACTATCCCTCTGGTCATAGCTACGAAAGGTAACTAATCTGGTTGACTTCTCATTTTTATAATATGTTGTTTGATATTAATCTGTTCTTGTTGTGTCCTTTCAGGTGTGTCCCGCTCTTCGAGACCCCATTTGGGGTCTTCTTGGCAAAGATACTGGAGAGGTTTGCCATGTCCTTCTCCAGCTCATTTGACAGATGAAGAACTGAGACAAACAGGGTTAAGGGATTTGCACAGGGTCGCACAGCTAGTAAGTGTCTGAGGCTGGATTTTAACTCAGGTCTTTCTGACTCCAGGCCTAGTACTCTATCCACCATATCACCTCGCTGCCCCAATTCCATGCCATGCTTTCATTTTGAGCTTATTGTCAACTCTTTCATTTTATAGATAAGGAAACTGATGCCTAGAGAGGTTAAGTGACTTGCCCAAAGTCACACAGCTATTATGTCACAAAACCAGTATTCAAACCCAGGATTGCTGAATCCACTAAATCACAAGTTGGGATAGCTAAAATGGGCAGCACAAAGCAACTAATGATAATTACTTTTTCTTCCCAAATAGAGTGACTTTCTCAGTAAGCTCCCCATATGTGATTTGCGGTGTATCTTCAGATTAATGATGATTGCTCTCCCATCAATATTTCTGAATATTACTAGTGACTGGAGGAAATTTTATTGGCTGTTGCAGTTCATTGAGAATTAATTGATATGGCACACTTACTCTACATGAACTTGGAAAAAAGTATATCAAGTGAATGATTTAATTCACTTTATGCTAATTATAAATTATGCCAGGCAACATTAGTAAGGATGAACTTGTTTCCAATGTGGATATTACACATGTGTGCAATCTGTCCCTTTGACACCCGTTAGCTCGGTGACTTTGGCTGAAGAGCACCTCATAGAAGTCATTAAATGGGAAACTATGCCCATGTTTGCAATGTAGGGTGTTCTTAAACTCATTAGAACAGGAGAAGGCAGCTAAATGAACTAATCATCTTTATTTGTAATTTCACTTACATTGGGATAGCCCATCCCCACACGAGATAGTTTCAAATGTTTCCATCCACCTTGAATATTTTTAAGCCATCTTATAAGTATTTCATAAAACGGAAAAGTAAATGCGCTGGTGGGGGGGGTGAGGGGTAGAGGGGCAAAATGCTAGAAAGGGGAGGGAATGGCTGCCAAATAAAAGGAAAAATGAAAGATGACTTTAGAAACCGCGTGTAATGAATTACTAGTTGAATGTTAAGACCACATCATAAAGACCTCCTTCATTCTCATTTCCTGTTCAATATTGTTGATGACTGGATTCCTCCCGATGCTCTCTCTATGTGCAAAAGCCCCTTCATAGTTTTATTAAAAGAAGTCCATCAGAATGGAAGATAGTTGTTATGCAGGAGCAGTCCTTCACATAATGGGAGATGGCATTTCTTTTCCAGCTCTTGCTGCTCCGCTGGTTCTAATAGCAACCTGGAGCTCAATTTCCTCCTCAAGAACATTGCATTTCATGTGGAATGTCAATTATTAAAATGCAGTGTCCCGTGTCTTACTTTTCACTAGATGAATTCATTTGCAAAACTTGCTAATTTATGCAAATGATCCTTAACCGGTAACTGCCTGGAATGTATTTCACAATTCCTAGCCCTTTGGCAGCTTTGAAACATGGAGCCAGGGACGGAAAGGCATTAATGCTGAATTTGTCTGTCAGCTCTGTCATCATTACATTGATTATGGCGTCTTGTTTTAAAAAGCAGCCCTGGATAAAAATCGGTTATTAAGTGGAAGCCAACAGCCCTGGCTGAAAAATCTGGAGATTAAATTAGAGATAAAGTAGAATGGCACTATCTGATACCTGCATCTCCTGACATGGCTGAGTAATGTTCACAGCTAATGTCTGCTTTTCTTGGAGAAACTAACTGGTTAATAACCCATGAAGGGTCACTCTGCACCTGACTCACAGGTTTTCAAGCAGATTTAGACAAGAAATTTCTTCTCATGTGCAATGACCCAACAGATCTGAGTTTCAATAAAGACAAAGGCAAAACAAACAGCCATCAACAGCATTATTTTTACTTTGATCGCATTTGCTCAGAAGCCAAAATACCTTTAGGTGTCTGTGTGTGCATGTGTGCATATGTTTGTATGTACACACATGCTTCTGTCTACATGAGCATTCACAAATGTATCTTAGAATCATAGACTGTCAGACATGAAGATACCTTAAAGATCATGTCAATGTTCAAAGTCTCATTTAAACAGAGTATGTTTATATTTGGGCCATATTGTATTTAAGTGTTCAGAATGACACAGAGCAAGTTTTGCCCCAGTGGGGCATGATTTCCTGAGATGCAGCCTTTTGTCTATGAAATACTGTGCTGAAAAAAGAACTTGCTGCAAACCTAAAAACTGTTTACACACACACACACACACACACACACACACACACACACACACACACACACCTTTTCTCTCTTGAGTATGCCAAAAGGACATTTTGGATGAGAGATCTGATCTTTGTGTTTGGGGAATATGGATCCCACATCCTTTTTAATATAGTTCTCTCCTCTACTCAGCTAGGTTGATGGTGAGTAGCCCAAACCCCATCTTTTATTACCCCGTAATCCTAGAAGACCAACAAAGTCACAAGATATTACTATGAGGAATGAAACATCCTTATGCACTACTCTGTGCCCTTGAGAACAGTTTGGCCCTAAACGTGGGTACTTAATTTTGAATCTAGCACCAAGATACACCTAGACTAGGCTAGAGTGTTGATTATACCTGTCTTCCAATATTTATTGCACTTGCTTCTTTCTAATCCTCAGTATCTGAACCCTACTCATTTGCCTCAACAGGGGTATTTTTGTATGTATCTGGTCACATGCTATTCACGCCACCTCATTCCCCCTTGCTGCAGCTTTCCCCTTCATTTTATATCCATATAAGCTAAGTGAGCATGAGACTGTCCTAAATGTATCTAAATAAAAAAGAAAAGAACTGCAGTTTGAGAAGTTAACAATCATATATTTTTTTCAAAGAACCTGTCTCATCTCTAGAAGATTAAAAGTACATATTTAATCACTCATGTGAATTCTGTTCCTTGGTACCTTACAGAGCTATGTCTCTTTAAATCTACTGTGGAAGATATTCCTTCTGGCCCATAAGATGCCAAAATGACTTGATGATTTATTTATGTAGAGCTTGGCAGACTGGAGTCCAGATTGTGGCTGAAGCTGAATTTTATGAGCCTTCCCCTAGTGAGTATATTTTAAAATTATATTAAAAAAATCTTTTTTTAAAAAGCCAGATAGAGTTTGGTACTAGTTTCAGGTGATTATGATCAAGAAAACAGGAAGAAAAAAAGATGGAAAATAAAGTTTTAAAATAAAACATAAATATTTACCAATTGAAGACATTTATTACTAAACAAATTATAAATTGTTTTAAAATGATAACTGAAAATCTTTCATTTTGGGAGGGATAATGTGGTAGCGTTTGAACTGAATGTAATTTCTTTACATCTGTTTTCAGGTTCACCCAAAAAAGGACCTATTGATTCACAGCTGGATAATCAGAAATTACAAGAGCAAACAGACCTGGCAAAACAATTTCCAAACCTATTTTCCTCCTGTACATACTTTCCCAAAGTGAAAAATATCAAGGCCAAAAAGGGAAATACTTTGTTAAGGGCAGAAGGAAGGATTTCAACAAAGGGATAAAGGAACAGAGTCATTGGGGGAATCAGGTGGAGGTTTATGGGTAATGAAGATGGTGCTGCACTTTGACATTCTAAACTTACACTTGATGACTGCCAGTGACCAGCTCTGTGAATGTGGCAGTTTATCAGACTCCAGAGGCTTCAGTTTATAGGCTTTGAGATCTGGCCAGAGTTACAAGGCTTTTTCAAAGTGAAATAAAGGGTATTATGGACAAGCAAAGGATTAAACTCTGGTCAGTTTAAATATTGATAATACTGCCAGGCTTGGTGAATAAATTGGTCACTAAAGTGCTTTTTCCTCTCTTTTTTATTCTTTGTAATAAGGGATTATTCTCTCATTGTCTTTCCCACTAAATCCCTCCCCACTCCCATCTTCTCTTTCACTGTGGAAGGCAGCACCATCCTCCCAGTTCCTTAGGCTTACAACCCAAGTGTCATCCTCAACCCCCTGTGTTGAATCTGCCGTCGAGGCCTATTGATTTTACCTTGGCAACATCTCTCAAGCATGCTCCCTTCTCTCCTCTGACACTGCCATCACCTAGGTACAGGTCCTTCTCACCTCCAGCTGTGTTATTGCAATGGCCTGATAGTGAGTCTACTAGCCTCAAGTCTCCCCTCACTCCAATGCATTCTCCAAAAAGCCGTAAAAGTGATTTTCCTAAAAGTACAAGTCCAACCATGTTTTACTCAACTACTCAATTATCTCCAGTGGCTCACTCTTGCCTCCAGGATTAAGCATACAATTCCCTATTTAGAGTTCACATCTTTTCCTAACCCAGCAGAACCTACCTTTCCGGTCTTCTTACATCTGACTCCAGGCCTCGTAAGCTTGGATGAAATGACACGGGCTTCCTTGCTGTTCCTCAGACCAGATACCACATCTCTTGGCTCCAAGCATTTTCTCTGACTGTCCCCCATGCCTGGAATGCTCTCCCTCTTCATCTCAGCCTTCGGCTTCTCTGGCTTTCTTCAAGCCCCAACTAAATCCCATATTCTACAGGAAGCCTTTGCCTTTCTCACCCTTCTGTATTCTAGTGCCTTCTCTCTTTTAATTATTTCTTAATTTTCTTGATGTAGTTATACGTATTTGTTTGCTTGATGATTCCTCTATCAGAATGTGAACAAGGACTGGGTTTGTTGTTTTGGGTTGGGGGTTTTTTTTTGCCACTTTTTGTATACCCAGTGCTTAGTACAGTACCTGACACATAGTAGGCACTTAATACATGTTTATGGATTGGTTGGTTTGAGAGGGAAATAGGGGAGCAATAGACTGAGAAACTGAAAAGATAGAAAAGCAGAAGAAATCATAAAAATATTTTTAAAGAATATAAGTTGTAGAACATAAGCTCCTTGAGGGCAAGGATTGCTTCATCTTTTTTCTCTCTATCTATTTGCAACACCCAGTACAATGATCTGTGTGTAATGGATCTCAATAAATGTGTGTTGAATTTTAAAAAATAGAAAGCTTATTGAAATTAAGTATTTTTTTTATAAAACCAAGACATTTTCCCCAAACATGAAATTCCTCAGAAATTCAATACTTAGAAAAATAATTGGATGTAATTAATACCATGTAACATTTATTGAGTGTTGAAAACATTTTCTGATTATAATTTATTGGATACTAGTAATGCTCAAGTTATTGCACAGAACATGAAATTAGACTTTTCCTTCCCATTGAGTTCACAATCATAAGTTAACAACAAGACTCAACACTCTTCAAGCTGAGCTGATGTCATCACAGTGCCATTCATTCTAATGTAATTGTTATTTATATAATTATTGTTAGTAATGATAACAACAACTATAATATAACTCCTACTGGAGGCAGTCCATTCTCTCCTCAGTGTCCAGCCACTTAGGAAAGACCTTATAATAAATTTATTTAGTATTGCCTAGAATGTACTTGAGCATTATTTTGAATTAACGACAGTGTCAGTTCATTACCAAAAGGTGACAGGGAAAAGACATTTCAATCAATCAGTCAACAAGCATTTTTAAGCTCCTACTATGTGCCAGTTCTAGACACTAAAGGATATGAAAACAAAAATGAACAACCCTCAAGGAGCTTACATTCTACTAGGGGATACCATGTGTATAAAAAAAAGTATAAAGAAAATATAGACAAAATAAATATAAGCTAAATTTTTGTAGGAGAAGGCCTAGCTTCTGGGTAGGGGGGAGGTGGAGAGGTGAGAATTGGGTAAGGTTTACTGAAGAAGAAGGCATTAGTCATAGTTTTAAAGAAACAAGGAATTCTAAGAGATGGAAGTACAGTGGTAGTACATTCTGTGTGCAGGAGATATTGGAAAGCATGGAGATAGGAGAAGGAGGGTCATGTGTAAGGAATAGCAAAGCCAATTTATCTGTACTGACCAGCATGGAAGAAGGAATAATTTATAATAATTATGTAAAGTCAGAACAGTGTTGTGAAATATTTTAAGAGCTAAAGAGAGGAGCATATATTTGATTCTAGAGTCTTTGCAGGGGGCCAAAGTAGCTTGTTGAGGAGGGGATTAACATTGCTAAGACCTTCACTATAGGAAAATCACTTTGGGAGCTCTATAGAGGATGGATTGGAGAGTTCAGAGACTTGAGGCAAGGAGACCCATTAGGACTATTATTGTGTTTGTCCAGGTGAGAGGGTTAAGGTATCCAGGACCCTCATGAGAAGTGATAGGGTAGAAGGGATAGCTAACATATTGGATGATACAATCAAGATCTAAAGGCATCTTGACAGTCTAGTTTTTTGGAGCAAATAAGATGAAATTCAATAGGGACAAATATAGAGTCTTAGGCTTGAGTTTAAGAAATCAACATTGCAAAGGACAGGATGGGAGAAGCATGGTTAGTGAGCAAATTGTCTGAAAAAATAGTTGCAGTTTTAGTGGACTGCAAACTCTTGAATCAATAGTGTGTGGCACCCAATTGGTGTGGCAGCTCAGAACATCCAGTGTGACTTGGGACTACATTAAGAAAGGTGTAGCTTCCACGAATAAGGAGGGAACAATCTCTTTGTCCTACCTTGATCAGACCATCCCTGCAGTACTGCATTCTGTTCTGGGTACCACAGTTTAGGAGGAACATTGATAGAATGAGAGCTCCCAGAGGAAGGTACTCAGGTTGGTGAATGGCTCTGAGTTCATATCATATGAAGATCATTGAAAGGAACCTGGGATGTTTAACCTTAAGAAGAGAAGACTCCATGGGAATGGGACAGCATGATAGCTATGTTCAAATCCCATTTGGATGCCATTTGGAAGAAGAGAAGGGGAAGAAAGCAAACATTTATATGGGACCTACTATGTGCCAGGCACTGTCCTAAGCTCTGTACAAGTACCTCATTGGTCCTCACAACAACCCTATGAGGTAGATGCTGTTATTATCCCCATTTTACAGTAGATGAAAATGAGGGGGGAAAGAGTTAAATAATTTTCCCACGGTTAGACAGTAGGTGTCTAAGGCTGGATTTGGACTCAGGTCTTCCTGACTCCAGACTCAGAGCTCTAGCCACTGCATCACCTAACTGAGCCCAAAGAAGAAGAAATGGACTTCTTCTGTTTGACCACAGAGTGCATAACTAGGAACAACGGGTGAAAGTTGCAAAGAAAAGAATTTAGGTTTGTAGGTCAGGAAAAAACTGCCTAATAATTAAAAGCTATCCAAGAGTGGAATGAGGTTCCACTATAGTCAAGGTCTTTCAGCTGGATTCCATTTTATTTGGCAGTGTTAAAGTGGGGATTCCTTTTCAGGTATAGCTGACTTTTCAACACAAAATGTGTGTGATTCTGAAAGCAGAAGGCTTCTCTCTGTATATCCTATGGTTCTATGCCTAGAACCTCATTGACTTGTCTGCAGATGCCTTAAACTATTCCGGCAACATCCATGCATCATTATTTAAGACTTTAGTTGTGTTATTATTATATAGACTTTCTCTGCTCTCTCCTCCACCAACTTGCACTTACTTCCAAAGTTTGGTAACTCAGAGGGCAACTAGTACCTGAGTTGGAGGTTGTAGTCCCTGAACTTTAGGGATGTGGGTCTGAGGGGTTTGTCTTGGCAAGGAATGGGGCAATCTCTTCACATGAAATAGGTGTAAAGGAAGAGATAGTGGCAGAAGGCATATGAGATGAAGGGTTAAGAGGGCATTCTTGGCAAATTGCCTCAATTTTTTTTCAGTAAAATAATGAGGCAAGGTTCTCAGCTGAGAGAGTGTGGAGAATGGGAGCCATGGGGGATTTGAAGAGGGATGAAAAGGTTTGGAAAGTGAGATAGTGAGTTGATAAGGGAAGTATAGTAGGATTGCCTAGCAGCACTGAGGGCGGGCCCAATGGAAGCTGTATAACAGAAATTTTTAGTGGATCCAGTCAGAATGGTTGCATGATTTTCTCCATCTTCATTCAGCAGCACTTGTATAGGAGCAAAGATAGTGAATGATGAGAGTGATCCAACAGTGAAGTTTGCCTAGGCAAAATAAGCAACATAGTAAGGGGACAAGGAATTCAAGAGAAGAGGAAAATGTAGAGTTGAATTGATTCACCAAGGGGTCAAGAGGGGAAGAAAGGGAGAGAGGCTAGGGCAGGGGAGATGGCTTGGGAAAGAACTGATGGGTCAAGGGTTTGGAAGCTATGGTGCAGATGAAGAGTAGGGTTTTGTGAGGGAAAACCAAGGGAGAGGTGAAAAGATAATAGCTTATAGTAAGATAAGGGAATTACGGAATTCTTGAACATAGGGAAGTATATTTGTGGGTAATAACATGATCAAGGGCATGACCTTTGTGTGGCTGAAGTGGAGAGGAGGAATAGCTTATGGAAAATGAGTAAATTAAGGAACTGAGTGATTAGGGTATTTGAAGGAGAGTCAATATGTATGTTGAAGTCCTCCAGTATGAAGACAGGAGTTGGGCAGGGGAGAAAAATTGTGAGCCAGGTATTAAACTCATAGAGGAAAGAAGGGGAGTGATGTGTGTGTGTGGGGGGGTCTGTAGACAAAAGATAGGATTTTGATTGGTAGTAGATATGAATAGCATGAACTCCAGAGGAAGAGGAAGAGAGGTTAATGAGTGAAGGAGAAAAGGGTAGAACCTGGAAGTGGCAATGGGACCAAGGAGTATTCTAAGTCCTCTGCCCTGACCATTGAGCTGAGGAGAATGAGTGAAGGTTCAGTTAGTACTAGAAAGGTCAGAGAGGCTATGTCATCAGTGCAGGGTCAAGTTTCAGTAATACCTGGTAGATGAAAGGAGTGGGAGAGGAAAAGATTTAAGAGGAAAGGAAGTTTATTGTCTATGGAACAAGCATTCCAGAGGGCACAGTGGGTGGAGTGAGGGTAAAACCTTTAGGTGGGAGGATTGAGAGGGATGGAAATGAGTAATCAGATAATACAACAGATATTAGTACTTAAGTATTCAACCATTCAAAAATCATCTCA